AAACCCATTTGTGTTGGTTTTGCTGACTTTTCTTGTCCAGACTTGTTTATTTACAGTAGACCGTCATATTGCTGACCAACAAACAAACAAACAAACAAAATGACCTTCCCCATTAGGACCGGTTTATTCAGCCTGTGACAAACACTTTTGAGTCAACTAGACTCATCTTGGATCTTAGCATAATCTTTTGTACATTTTCGTGTGATCATATGGACCTTTGTTAGTTCCCACCCTTGCCGAACTAGGCTGAAATTATGGAGTTATATTTTGGCTGGACTAACGAGTCTATGCATGATCCAATCAAAATCGTGAAATTAAACTGACAATCGGTTCATAGACAGTTTGGGGACTGCAGTGTAGATTTCGGTCGATAGTAGGATTTGCAGAGCATGTGTTCCGTCAACTGGGCGTCGACAGATAATTTCCAAATCTTTCCATGTTTTTAACGAAGGTACTCAAGTGATTTGATGCACTTCACGAGGTAAGGCCCACTTTATTACAATAAAAGTCTTGATTATTGATCAGATCGTCATGACTGGGCACCGCTATTTTGTTTGAAGCAAACGCAAGTGATATGAAAGATGGATCTGATTGGTCAATAGAAGTAACATAGAAGGGACATAACACATAAACGCCACTGGTGGCGCTACGATCAAACCCAGAAATTCCAGCACAGTTCAGCAAGGCTGAAAACTGGACTTATAATTTCATTAACCCTTTCGCCCCGACTGCCCGATTTATCGGGCAGGATAAACCGTGTCCCAGGACCCGGCTGCCCGAAAAATCGGGCAGCATAAGCCGAGGCCCAGAACCCGGCTGCCCGATAAATCGGGCGGCGCGAGCGTGTTTACAAAATTGCTCTTTCTACTTCCTTTCTCGTGTGTAATCTCGTTCTAAATATGGAAACGAGATCTACACGTATTGACACGTCATTCGATGGAATTTCCCCGTCTTTTTGGCGCGAAAATCGCGGGTATGTCACCTGTTTTCGCGACAGGTATTTTTCTCGCTTGAATCGTAAATCAAGCGTAATGGCGGCCAACTACGATTCGGATAGCGATCAGATGATTAACAACGACTATATCGGGAATAATAATGTGTTTGAATTGAATAATTTACGCGAAGGGGAGAGGGAATTTCGCGAATATTTTCGTGAAGATTTTGACGGTTTCGACGAGGTGTCCCCCCCCCGCCAACTTTCGAGAATGGGAGTGGCAGAGGGACACACGACAGTGGAGACATGAGGGATTTTGAAGAGGCGACCGGATTCAAGAATATATATTGACACGGTGAGTGAAGAGTCGTGCTATTGATTTTTTCCAACTGTTTTACAATGATTCTGTGTTTGAACAGATTATCAGTGCGACGAATGAGAATGCAGCCTACACGTGAACGAGCGATCACAACAACAACAAAGGTGAGTGGCATGACGTATCTGTTTCTTTTTTTAAAAATTTATTTTTCTGATCGCAATCCGAATTGTAGTTTGCCGGTTTGTCGTATGTCCTTATATTTCGCTCAATTTGAATAAAATTTATTTCCATATTCATGTTTGTTTTCTTGTTTTTTACATCTTAATTTAAATTTTAGTAACTGTAATGATTATTTATTTATTAATTGATTTAATAAAGTACTGATTTAATTTATTATGCAATTGTAAATAGCAGTGTATTGTAAATATGTTATCACAACTTGTATATTTGCAGAACTTGAATTTACGATCTTTCCGTCCTTTTACAATGTTTCCCTCTTCAGATCAATCTGTGTTATCTTCCCTGTGATGTCATTCTTATAGTAGCTGTGGTTCAATGTTCAGATAATGTGATAAATAACTTTTTAAAAACTTAAATACTTAATTTTTGTTTCAAATCCTGAAAAAGAACAAAATAAATCAAATATTTGTGTTTTTACCTGTGTTAACGAGTTTACCTGCGTTAACAAGTTTACCTGTGTTAACGAGTTTACCTAAGAGGCTGTAAGTGTATCATAAGTAATATGTGACATCAGTATAGAAAACAAAGTCAGTACCAAGAGTTGTAAACTTGTTTATTTGTTTACAGATGTGCATGAAGAGAATTTACCTGTAACACCTGGGATTACCTGTGCCGTCCAAGATGACAAGACCACTGTGTTATGTTTACCTTGTATCTGTGATTTATTTTTGTGATTTGTAATACAATTTGAGCCAAAATTCATTGTCTGTTTTCATTTTTTCAGTGTTTTCAAGTTTTATTTCACTTGTAAACACCTGTAATTAGAAAATAACAAAGGTTAGAGACAATAACAACAAAGAATATTAAAGTATACTTAATCCTCTTTACAATGGTATATGATAAATGTATATTAAAAGCAAGTTTCTGGTAGAAAAAGTGCATCAAAAATGATAGTGTGATTTTCCAATAATACTGCCAGGGAGGCCAGTGTACAGGCCTTGTCAGTGTCAGGGACTGCAGGGTCTCAAGGGACATAACTCTGGGGCAGCCAGTGATGAAAGAGTTAACTCCCTTGCCTTGGGAGGATGAGGTAACCAGGCCAAAAACAATTTTACAAGACCCAGGCTCCGAACTTTGCAGAAATCACAGACTGCTTATTAACAAACAGGAAACTACACTGAGCAGAGCTGTGTGGAGCTTGGAGGAATCTGTGCGGACACAAGGGAATCTGTGACATCCTGATTGGTTGCAATATATGAGAGTCTCTCAATGCCAAGGACACTCTTGATAAAAAGGTTATTTATAGGGGGTCCTTTGTGTAGAATATTTGTCAATAGGCCAATAGCCTTGGTATACTCTGCAGTTGGAATTATATGCAGCCAATAGTTATATATTCTTGGCACGCATTTTGAGATGTTTTCCTTGTGATGTTATTCCCCCTTTGTCGGGATAAAGGGTCAGTGACACACTGATACAAGCAATGAAGAAGTTGTCATCCACAACTAGCGTCTTTTTGTTCTTCCATATTCTGAATACCTATCAAAGACTTACAGTACATATAAGTTGAAAAATATCCCATTGTTAGAAATTTATGAGGTTCCAAGGTTTTCTGCTATAGACATTTTACTCACAATGTTTTCCCAATATGCCTTGAAAGGACTCTTTAACAATACTGGTAACATACATAAAACACTGGTTGTGTGCCTCCAAACATGACAGAACAAGGCTCTACGTCCAGCAGTCGAAACTAACATTCTTAGACCACTAGTCTTTATAAATAACATATAGCAAAACCCTTAAAAATGGCAGATTTCTACTAGACCTTATGGTACCTTAAGTATTGGGCATTTTGGCAAGGACTACAGGACTAGTGCCAATTTCTAACGCTGTAAGTCTTTGATATGCATATCACCAAAAACATTATGATGATAGCATGATATCAGTTGCCAAGTAAATCAAACCACTACATATTTTATGTAGAGTGAGTGCGTTGAGGTCATGCCACTTTGACATCTTTTCAAACTGAGTAAACAATAAACAAGACAATGTTGGGAAGCTTGCTGATTATTTGGTTCTGCCTGGCTGCCATTGTAGGCTTGTTTACATGGTGTACTCCTGGCTTCATGTGTTTCCACACAACAACAGTGTATGCAAGATACGCTAAGATAAATACTGGGATACATTCAAATATTCTGTTCATTATATAATCACTAAAACAAGACCAAGGTTTTTCAGTTATATTTTGTAGACTGGCCTTTTGATATAAATCTAATGTTGATTTTTGGATTGTAAAAGTCACAATTTATTCACAAAAAAATTCCATGATGTGAATTAACCCTGCAACCTCACATGTTTAGTTTTGTAACCCACTGTTTTCCAACTAAGCCACCGGGGCAGGTGATGAAAGTCTGTTCAATCTTACATGTCATGACTTCAGTTGTGTACATGCTGCACGTGTCTTTCTCATGCACATTTTTCCTTTTATAATGCAATGCACCGTATTGTTTCACAATACAATATCCCCAAGTCTTCTTATTCTTTCTTGTATTTCTTGCATTTAGACGGTTTATAAGACGTCTTGACTGAGAATGTAAGCCCAGGATGCATCACCAATAACCCTCTGCCTCTGGCTTACTTTCTCAGTCAAGACCCCAGAGTCGGTATTTATCCCTTACTTAAACCACAATGTACTTACAAAAACATTACTTCCAGACCTTGTCCTTGACCAAGACAATCTTTTTCAGATCCAACTCTTACCTATTCTAACCAGGATCTGTCCGGGTTGGAATGCACAAGTAAACAGGCAACAGTAACAGACACTATATATGAAACAAATGTTTCAAAATAGCCTCAGAGATGACCCTGAACTTTAATAGACATTGCAGCACCATTAGATGTGGTAGGATTTGTAAAGATACAAGCAAATATAAAGTTTCATGCCTGTAGAGGTAGCCATGCCTCAGAAACCATGTTCTACAAAAAGCTGAACACTGACCTTGACCTTTGTGTTATTTGACCTATAGTATACCTTTCCAAAGCAGTGCCCCATCCTAAAGAAGGTATTTAGAAAGTTTAATGATACATGTACATGCATTTACACTTTTTGAGAATGTGGAGCAACAAGCATTTGAGAGACTTTTTTCTATTTCATGACCTTGGCCTTTAATCTTTTTATTGCAAGTGCCAAAAGAACTCCAAGGTCCATGTGTATGTAATAAGACCATCTTAGGAAATCCTCTAATGTCAATAATCTTGGCGCCAAAGTCACACATAAATGATACCACTGCTGAAAATATCCTCCATGGTGTCCTTGACCTTTGACATAAGAGCATTTGACATTGGATGTGGTAGGATTACTGAAAACACCCATGTAAATATAGAACCATGTAAACATATCATCTGTAATGTCAATAATCTTTGTGCAGTTGTCACTAGAAAACACCGAGACAACAGCTCAGTATCACACACATGTCTAGACTACAAATGGGTTTCAGACAGCAGACAAGTCTGTCTGCAAGTGTGTCAGTATAGCTGGGATGTGTTGCTATGGTTGTTTTTCACAATTACCTGTATACAACGACTGGTCAGACCGAAGTGTGGACTTCCCATCTTTGGCATAGAATCCTTCTGTGACGACCTTCATGATGACTGAATACCTCACACAGCCGGAAAACACCTCCATTATGAACGTTCTGTCGCCATCTTCTGTTACCTAGCAACCAATAATAAAAGAGATATAATGTCAATGTCACATGAAGGGAACCCTTATTAACCAATTCTATGGACAAAAAAACAAAATTTAATAATTCTGTATACAGCATGACTATCGCCTAAAGTGCATATTGTTAAATATGATTACAAATTCCAAATATTTTCTCATTGCTTTGATATCAGTGAGAGGAATAATTGACACTTCACTCATTGATGGACAATTTGGGCCCAGGGGATCTGCATTAAGAGAAATTTAACAAGACTTCAGTAATCATAATGAAAACAATCAGATTTGTTCACATGAACATGCATAAAAATTAGTCTCTTTTCAAAGCTGGCCTGTTGTGGACTAAATGAAGAGATAAGGCTAAATGTGTGAAGACTAATGTCGATTTATAGTGCTAGCCCACTGAGATACCATGCCACAGTTAAACAATAATACCCCACTCAGACACAGTATACTTCCTCCGAGCCGACCAGTCCTTGTTTTAGCCCCATAATGCCAAGCACTAGACAGGGTAACAACAAGTACCATATATTAACGTCTTTTGGTTAGACGGGGCTGGGGATCAAACCTCCAACATTCTGCAACATTCAGACACTCTATGCACTAGACCACTGGGACGATCGATTTTCTAGAGGATGTAGGTAAAGATAGCAGAAAGGTCACAGCCTTGATCATATTTAGATTTTCTCTTCAATTACAGAAAAAAATCAGCCTTCTTCACTCAATTTAGGACTACTTATGGTCTTGAGCAGGCAATAACTCAACAAGCAGACAAAGGGAAAGAGTATTTTCAAGTCATATGAATCTCTCTTATGTCCACAAGGCCGTAGTTAACTTTTTTTGACAGGGAGGGCAAATATTTGTACAAGTATCACTTGTCCCCAACTTGATTCAAATAAAACTGTTTTCTATAAAAAAAATCCAGGTGGGCAACTGCCCCCCCTGCTCCCCGGCTGGCTACGGCACTGGTCCAAATGACTTACAAATTTGAGTTCCAAATCATTTGCAATTGGCTAAAAAAGTCCCTCATCATATAAGGTACACATTACATACTCTAAAAAAAAGGAGGTATACATAGGTACTGGATGTCATTCAATAGAGAAGATGCACACATAATGTGGTGGAAGGCCTGGCGTGTATACACAGTCCAGGCACTGATGCACTGACAAGACGTCGGGGGTAACTCTGTTATGACTTCTGCCTTGAGGACAGCTTGGCAGCATCAACCCACAGAAGCATCAGTTCCCGAATATCATTCTTGTAGTGCCAAAAGCAGGCCCTCAAGTGTGTGAGGTGGTCGATACCTCCGACAAACTCAGCAATCAAGGATATCCCAGTGATGATAATTCGGAGATGGGTCAGGTGATTGTGCTGGCCATGTTAATGTTCCTTTGCCACCATTGGCATTTCTGCGTGATTGAGTTGGGTTTCGCGATGCTTTTTGCAATATTCCATCAATATCACAGCGGGGGACATTAGAAGTGGGCTTCACACATTGTACCCATGTGGGGAGTCGAACCCGAGCCTTCAGTGTAACGAGCAAATGCTTTAACCACAAGGCTACCACACCACCCCTAGCATCCCTGAAGGGAAGGACATGACATTGTAGGATCTCATTTCTGAAGGTAACTCTGTGAGTGTACCTTCAACACGGACCAGTGCCGTTCCGGGCACCATGAAGGATACCAGCCCACACAACAACACTTCCACCTCCAAAACACTGAACCTACTGCACACAGTTCGGGGCATAGCATATATCGATGTCTGTTGATACGAACATGTCCATCAGCATGTATCAGTAGAAATGTGATTTATCACAACAGTCGACCCGTGAAGATTCCGGGGTAGAATAGGTCTTCAGCAACCCATACTTGCCGTAAAAGGCGATAATGCTTGTCGAGAAAGGCGACTAACGGGATCGGGTGGTCAGGCTAGCTGACTTGGTTGATATATGTCATCGATCCCAATTGCGTAGATCGATGCTCATGATGTCAATCACTGGATTGTCTGGTCCAGACTCAATTACTTTACAGACAGCCGTCATATGACTGGAATATTGCTGAGTGCGGCGTTAAACAACAAACAAACATCACAACAGTCCTCCACCTTGCACATGCCCATACCAGTCGCTGTCTGCATAGTTGACATTTGTTCCCACTTGTCTGTGAGCAACAATATCTTAAGGATGGTCAGAAGTGATATTCTCCGTAGTCCAGGAACATGGTCAGCAGTTGAGGTTCAAATCATGAATCCGTCATGTAGATGTCGAACCTGACATTGTAATCCTGGGCAGGGGTGGTTACTCCAGGTCGACCTGACCTTGATTTGTTCCTGTGTTGTATCATGCCGATGACCTGTGGATCACAACCCTGTCACACCCAGGTGCCCCGATTGTTGTGATGCCCTAGCTTGTAATCAGCCAATAGCATTGTTGTATTTGGCTTCCACCATTTTTGGCATTTTATTGAAGCCTAGCATGACTTCACGTGAGTTCTGTAGATCTGGGTTGTGTTGGCCTTTCATCCCCAACCAACAGATGCCTCAGCATGGGTGCTCACAGGCCAGCATGAGTTAATGGCTTTGTGCATTTCACAAAATCTATGAACATGGATGTTCATTTTCTAGAACACATCGACAATTGTATGTTCATCATTGTTCATATTTCATGAACATTAATTCATTCTCCATTTCTAAAAGATTATTTATTTGCAGGTGTATACTTTTTTAAGAGTATATTTTGGGATTTCTGTTTGTTTACCAAATTATACTCAAACAACAAACAAACACTACAAGTCGGCAGCAAATGTCAGAAAACATTCCCAAATTAGAATTACAAATTTCACAATTCAAACTTTAATTGTTATAACTAATGTAATGGCTTGATAGGATTGACCTGAATTTTGCAGATAACAAAGCCAATATAGAAGAAGATTTAATGCTTAGTTACATATTAATACATTGAACATATTGCTAACATACAATATTAAAAATACCTTCAAATCTACGAAAATAAGAACTTAAAAAAAATATTCAAATCTTTATCAAATAACATATTTTTCCTCAATTTGCCTAGGGCACTTTGTTTGGAATCCCATATAAACCCCTCATGATATTATCATTATAACTGCATTTCATATGTGAAATGTCAAGTCGATTGCAAAAAATTATGTCAGTACATAGAGATCTTAATGATCTTTTAAAACAGAAAAAACGGTTAGGCCATTAAGCTTGAAATACTAACACATGACAAGCTGACACAATGATACAATACGCCAGCAAGATAACAGGTTTATTGATGCAACTCTAACATACCTGGTGTTGCTTCAGATAGGAATTGATTTGTTCCTCTAATGATGTCATCTCACTGTCATACGTGTCAATGACACGGGTGCAGTGTCCCAAGAGCTGACCGTGGTTCATTGTTGATGGTTAGATGGTCAGGGGAAGCTGAACAGAATCAATTGTGCAGCTGATCTGGAATAAGACAGGCGGCAAGATCATCAACAGCATCATAAACATCTCCCATAGCCATGTCAAGGCCAAGAATGTGGAAGGTGAGAGTTTGAATATTAAACAAACCTCTGCAACTGTTTCTGTGATGGTGCTTATGGGGATTATGCAGGTCTTGATTGAACTATATAAAACATTAGGGGTGAAACGATACAGCAAGGTCACGATACAATACGTAGGTCATGATACGTTATGTATCGCGATACACATATTTACGTCAAATCGCATGGAAACTTCTTGACAATTAATATTTCAGAGCAGGTTCAAAAAGAAAAGCTAGCTGTAGACACATGTTCGTAATGGCTATTTTTAGTAGTGAACTTGAAACGCTAATTACAACACATTTTCATATATCTGACTGATAAAAACGTCAGGGGTCATTAAACGAGTAGTAAGTAAATTATTTCAGGTAATATATATGTCTTGCATCGATATAATGAAAAACATATCGTGCATCATATTGTCACATGAAAACTCACGATGCACCGCTTTATCGATATTTTGTTTCTACCCTATAAAACATGCACCAGTGCAAGCTATTACTGAAAATTGCAACCTAATATTTACGTCTACCTGACAACAAGTGCATGTTAAAAAAAATGAAATTTGGGTCTGACAATCCCTTACTTTCCCACACTACAACAGTCTTTGAACACATTCAATATCTCCAAGCTTTATCATACTACAACACTGATCCCTGTGTTATCAAGGTTAAGTGAAATTTGTCATGCTTTCTTGGGTACGAGTAAGTCACGTTCCTATTATGTTTTGCAGCAATACATCTTTAATTACCGGTATGTGAAATCATGACACAGTCATCAGAGATCTGAGATTGTATATAATTAGACCAGTTTGTGCATCTATTATGTCTATGTTTCAACTTTTGATACATGTATGGAACCAGGGTGCAACCTGGTTTTGTCTGCATGGTGCAACTGGGTTTTCAAGTAGTAAGTAAAAGTAAAAGTAAAATCAAGTTCCTTAATCGAGACCTGTATAGATGTTTCGAGAAAAAGCTCCCAATCAACTATTTTCACTTAGGAAATGAGGAATTGGATTTCAGTCAGCTTAAATATCTAAGCAGAAATGTTTTAATGCTATCATTAAAGTGGCATTATTCAAGTCATTACTGCTCAGTCACTTACTTTTTCTACCAATTTTATTTCAATAAATGGGTCTTTTGCATTTAGACAATACAAGTGGATAAATACTAAGCGTGACACAAGCATGGCAGTCAAGTGTAATACTTTGTTTCTTCATTGCCTTTTGTGACAGTCAGCACTATGCTAGATCACAGTATATGGCACCAAGAAGTATCACATATAGCCAATTGGGCAAATATTCGACAAGTTTAAAGAAGCTATTTCACCAAAAATTGGATACGCCATCTGGCTTGACGGTAATGAAAGAAGGATGTTACCAAGGATACGTTAGATCACGGGGGAGGTAATTTGTACAGCACTATGATGTCATTCCATTATGACATTACTTAGGAAATGTACTTCATCACAGGATAAAGTTCAGTCAGCGCCAAACATCTCTTAACACCAACTTGTAATATAATTGTATTCGTAACTTTGTGTATTTGTTATAGTCCTATTAAATAGTATAAGTGTTGTTATTCCTAAGTTATTAACATTTTTTTAATAAACATTCAGTCTACCCATTCCAAATTCCCAACCAGTAATAATTGTGGGGCCATAATTATTTCATGCTAATATTAGGCCTAACTACATGTAGTAACTTAGTATGATTTAGAGGTTACCCATATTGGCAACTGTATTTTATAAACACCCTAAATTTAAAACGAAAACAATGGTACGTACGCGTGATCTTATGTATTTCGAAACCGTTGATTTGTAAACGAAAGAATATCCCCATAAGTAACATAAGTAACACGAAAAATATCACGAAAACAGGAGTCATGAACATATGGCTATTGCTACGGCAACCGTAAACAAATTAATTTATCCGTCATTTGGAGGGATTTGACGTTAATGAAGACATGACTTGAAACATTATTGTGTCAGAGAATCATTATTGATTACCTCGACTAAACCACTAAACGGTGAACCAGCATTAGTCCAAGCGAATCACACACTTTGTCGAATAGTTTAGCTTCCCAAATCAATCTGTCGCCATCTTCTCTTGGTGCATTATGGGAACATACACAAGAAACGATTTTAGGGGGTTCTCCTTGAAGCAATCAATTCATTGAAGTAAACTACATTTGCACTACTTGCCGTTAACAATAACTTATTACGTTATGTATATTTACCAAAGGACGTTTAACTAGTATAAACAAATTACCGGATAATAACGAGGTCACCGGAATTTAATGTAGACGATCTTCCATACGACTAATTCACAGCATACCTAACCAGGCGTATCAAAGTTTGAAACGTAGCCAGCGGTATGTGAGTTGAAGAAACCGGAAATGAGCCCAAGAATTTCGGTATTTTGCTGCATTAAATTTTCTCGGTGACTCAGCACATTCCACTATCTCCCTATAGCTTACGGTAGTGGAGATTGTATCTTTAATAAGATATTCTCGCATTTTTGGGGTCGCAGGGTCCATAATGCATGTAAAAAACTCAGCTAAAAACAGCTTATAACGAACTGTTTATTTTTGTCCCGGTCATTTGCTCTGTATATGCTTATAACGAACAACGGTTATAACGAACTAAAATTAGTGGTCCCTGTGAGTTCGTCATAACCGTAGTAGTACTGTCTCGTTTTAAACTACGCTTCGCTGTGCAGCTGACCTAATTCTGTGCCCATTTCTGACGAAAGGGCAAACAAAGTAAATGCTTCATTCGGGTACTTGGTCCCTCTATTTGGTACGAGTAATCTCACTCTGTGATACAGAACAAGGTTTTATTGATGTTGTTCTTGTGAATTACTTTGTTTACGTCGCATATAGGTCGTTACACCATACAGCCATACCTGGTGGACACAGCCTAGAGAAACGCTTAGTCTCTGAAGATATATAAATTTGATAGAAATAAACCACTCCATTTAAATGAAAAGGGGATCAAGTGAGTTTACCTGTAGATAATCTAGACTTGCTTCTTTCTTAGAGTAGACTAATCACGTTAACGTATACAGAAAACTGAAATGTTTTCAACAAAGAGAAAACAAATATTTGACAGTCTTTTGGCTTGCAAACTTTTCACAAAATCTGCATTTAAAAAAAAGAGTGATTGAGTATGGCTTTACGCCGCTTTTAGCAGTATTCCAGCAATATCACGGCGGTTGACACCAGAAATGGGCTCCATATACACTGTACCTATGTCGGGAATCAAAACTGCGTCTTCGGCGTGACGAACGAACACGTTGACCATTAGGCTACCCAACCGCCCCCATTTATGAATAAACAAAACAGATGCTATCGTATACCATATGCGATATGTTCTTATATATATACCTACAAGGTGAATCGGACATATCGGTAAAAGAAACAAAACAATTCATACCAAATATACAATACAAAACTAACTCCCTTGACCAACAACATAAATCCAATATGTCTCTAGCAGTACTGCGATGTTGTGAGGAACGACTTAAGCCTCTTTTAGCAACACTGCAGCCATACCACAATTGGGGCACGAAAAAATCCTTTTTATTGTCTTCGGGTGATGAGATGAATACACTTGTGAAGCATAAGCAGCTAGAACGTAGGTATCCAATACTGAAAATACACATGTCATTTAATCGATTCGGATAAGGGGTATTTATCACAAAGTTCTCAGGCCCTACCCAAAATATCAAACGGCTGGTCCCTGAGGGTGTGAAGTATCAGGATAAATCTAATTGGTTGGATTAATATATGAGTAGACATGAATATTTAAGCCTTTGGACATTTTCCCACAACTGTCCTTGAGGCCTTTTGTACAACAAATTTCCCGCATAGCACGAACGCATTACTTACCGACATGGTCTTTAATAGTAGGCCCGTTAAGATCCGGGCTAGAATAGGTCTTCAGCAACCCATAGGCGACTATGCTTGTCGTAAAAGGCGACTAACGGGATCGGGTGGTCAGGCTAGCTGACTTGGTAGATGCATGTCATCTATCCCAATTGCATGGATCGATTCTCGTGATATCAATCACTGGATTGTCTGGTCCAGACTCGATTATTTACAGACCGCCGTCATATAGCTGGAATATTGCTGAGCGCGGCGTAAAACAACAAACCAACCAAACTAATCTTTAATAGTAACAGATATCTTGGAGATACACTGCCGGGCAAAAGTAAGTATACACCCATGTGTGATGGTGGCTAACTATGAAACAAACAAGAAATGGTTATTCGATGGTGATGTTTGTTTATTTGTTTAACGCCGCACTCAGAAATATTCCAGCTATATGACGGCGGTCTGTAAAAAATCGAATCTGGACCAGACAATCCAGTGATTTATGCCATGAGCATCGATCAACGCAATTGGGATCGATGACATGCATCAACCAAGTCAGCGAGCCTGACCACCCGATCCCGTTAGTCGCCTTTTACGACAAGCATAGTCACCTTTTACGGCAAGCATGGGTTTCTGAAGACCTATTCTACCCCGGAATCTTCACGGGTCTCGATGGTGATGTATTTGATATGGGTATCATAGGCAATATTGCATGCACATATGTGCGCTTGACGTGTCAAGAATCGCAATTTCACAATAAACCGTGATATAACTGGAATACTGTTTAAAGCCTCGTTGAACCCAACTCACTCAATTTCACAGTGAGGTGAGATGAAATGGGGTTTAACGTCGCGATTATAGCGACGTGCATGCACGTGTGTATGTGGCTGATTGTACTAGTCCGGACTGACGCCGAATTATAGTGCTATCCCACTGAGAAACCATGCTGCAGTTTAACATGAATACCCCACTCAGACACAGTATACAGACTCCGAGCCGACCCATCCTTCTTTTAGCCCCTTAATGCCGAGCGCCAGACTTGGCAACAACAAGTACAATCCTTTAACATCCTTTGATATGAAGCGGGCGGACGCTCTACCACTCGACCTCGGGGACGGTCAAAATTCACAGGACATATTAATGAGTGAAGCAGTAACTGTCATGATCAGTGACTGTCACGACCACAGCTCTATTCCACAGTCTATGAAATATGACCACCACGAGCATTCGTGACCAACTCGTGTTATTCGTGCACCACGAGCACCAGTACACGCCCAGACTCACCGCCTCATTGATGTCGTCAGCCGCCTCATGATGTCACTGGGAATCCGTTATCATCAGTGGGTGTTCCAGCAGTTGGCGGTTCTGGGTGGAGGGGCGGTCGGGTAGCCTAGTGGTTAAAGCGTTCGCTCGTCACGCCGAAGACCCGGGTTTGATTCCCGACATGGGTACAATGTGTGAAGCCCATTTCTGGTGTCCCCCGCCGTGATATTGCTGGAATATTGCTAAAAGCGGCGTAAAAACCATACTCACTCACCACTCTGTGGTGGAGGAGGACGCCTCCTGATCTGACGATCTAGATGATCACACAAGTGCATGTACAATTGGGTTTAAGTGGTGAGCGAGCTGGTCATGGAAGAACGACGATGGTGAGTGCAGCCAAGAAATCCTGAACGATCCTTGCAGTGTGCGTCCTAGCGTTGTAGTGTTGCTGTTGGCGAAGGAATGGTAACACCGAGAGTTGAATAGCACAATCCCCGTAGATACACTTCCCGAATGCAGCCCTACGGCAATCAGTTATACACTTTTAACCTTTACCGTAAATGTTTACGGTAAATAACCAAATCTCGTAACTGCAGTGAGTGAGTATGGTTTTACGCCGCTTGTAGCAATATTCCATCAATATCACAGCAGGGGACACTAGAATTGGGCTTCACACATTGTACCCATGTGGGGATTCGAACCCGGGCCTTTGGCCTGAAGAGCGAACACTTTATAACCCCTACGCTACCCCAGCGCTCGTAACTACATGCATATAAATCGTATATTACACTGGTAACCTTTTACCGTTTTCACCATAAATTGATGTGCTCATCTACTGCTTGCGCTAGTAATCAGGAATAGTTCCTACTGGCGTATATAGTTGACTAGACCCGTGAATTTCAGGGTAAATAATAGGCTACAGCAACCCATGCTTGTCGTAAGAAGCGACTAACGGGATCGCTGCCTTAAATTTGGTTGATACATGTCGTATCCCAGTTGCGTAGATCGATGCTCATGACGCCAATCACTGGCTTGTCTGGCCCAGACACGATTATAAGAAGAGTTAGGGAGTATCACTTTACGCCGCTTTTAGCAACATTCCAGCAATATCACGGCTGTTGATACTGAAAATGCATGGTACACATTGTACCCATGTGAGGATTCGAATTCGGCGTGACGAGCGAACGCTTTAACCACTGTGCTTCCCCACCGCCCGTATATAAGTGAGTGAGTGCATGGATGAGCTGGGTATACAACCAAGCAATTATTTCAGTTATGTCATAGACAGAGGATAGGCGACACACTATCGACAGAGTCCCACACGACTGTCAACTTAATGTGTGTCGTATCCCCTATCTATGACGTACAGTTTCCCGATAGTGTACCACTCAACATGTCTTTTGCACACATATACTAACGAAAAAAGTAACGTTAACTTCATATAAAGTGATGGAAATGTTGTGTCATTGAAAACAGTTCAATTAAACATGTCAGTATCGGATATAACCACCCTTTGCGTTGATACATGCAGGCGAAACAGCAAGGGATGTTCCCAACTGAGTTAGCGTTTAAACCGGCTGGTTCTGGTCCTGCCGTAGGCGTCGTCCAGCTCATTCTATGGGGAAGAGGTCTGGAGAAACCGCCGACCATGGCAGCACAGCACGAACACAGTTACTTTCCCCTCGTCAGTATATTTTCGTATCGCATGCATGGAACGGGTGGTCAGGTTCCATAAGTTGGTTGATTGGCGTCATATACACCGACGGCGTAGGATGAGGCTCATAATATCAACCACTGGTTCACTGGTCCAGACTCTATTATTTACAGACTGCCGTGATGAAATAGCTGAATTTGGCGTAACCAGCTTTATTCGCTCATTCACTATTACACAAATGCACGGTGTACCGATAATTCATCATCATTTGACCCTGTATAATATAAGTATAAAGTATAGTATAAAGGGTGTAGAGGGCATTATCATTTCCCTTCGTCGGTCAGTTAATAGCAGACCTCGTGCCTCTGCAAATGATATAATCCCCTAAAACGTAATGATACCCTTATAATACAGTCCTGATAGTCGGCCACTTGTCCTCTCTCTATTACATATGGGATACTGTTTTGTTGTTTAACGCAACATTCAGTTATCACATTCTTGCTAAACGACGTCGGTCTGTAAACAATCGAGTTGGGACCAGACAATCCAGTGATGGACATAACTGATGCTCAAGGTATTAAACAACAAACAAACAAACAAACCTAAGTAGACAAGTGAATGAGTTATCCACCAGGCTATCCACTGATTCAAACCCTGTGGAGATTTAGAGTTGGGACATGCCTATACATGCAACTGGCTGACAGCAAAGGTGTAAACTGACTTTATAAGAAAGTTCAGTGGAAACTTGACTTTCTTAAAAAGTCAGTTAACACCTTTGCCGCGGGAAGATGCTGGCTGTAGGTGAACTCGTAACCAACATAAATCATAGCCATGGAGAATTCGTAGCCACTCCCAACTCGTAGACAAAATAAATAAAATTGGAAAAAAGACTTGAATATTGATTTATTACATAATTATACATATTGAATTTATTTCAAATCATAAAATTTAAATATGTGCCGCATTTTGACCTGACGATAAGGAAGATGGTATCAGGTCTTTGAAAGACATTTAGAAGTGATACACGTAAGGAAGAGAATATATGGATGTCAACTTCTTTATTATAAGGAACACACCGTTTCGGAGTATATGCTTACTCCTTCATCAGGAGAATGATCATCCGTTTCGGAGTATATGCTTACTCCTTCATCAGGAGAATGATCATCCGTTTCGGAGTATATGCTTACTCCTTCATCAGGAGAATGATCATCCGTTTCGGAGTATATGCTTACTCCTTCATCAGGAGAATGATCATTCATCTGATGAAGGAGTAAGCATATACTCCGAAACGTTGTGTTCCTCATGATAAAGAAGTTGACATCCATCAGGTGAATGATCATTCATCTGATGAAGGATTTAGCATATACTCCGAAACGTTGTGTTCCTCATGATAAAGAAGTTGACATCCATCGGGTGAATGACCATTCACCTCATGAAGGAGTAAGCATATACTCCGAAACGTTGTGTTCCTCATAATAAAGAAGTTGACATCCATATATTCTCTTCCTTCACTTCCATTCATAACGTGCAGAATCCTCGTCCTATCCTTCTCAGCTTGGATATACTTATCTGATTATTAAAATTCATCGTAGTATTTACAAAAGATCTTGCAAAAGAAAAACTAATACTTACCGTATTTCATTTTACTATGATAGACCGGGGATTTTGCTGAATGTAGGTCATAGCCATTCACTCACTTCCCATCATTCGTAAAAGGTTCTGGAAATTCACATCAGTCTGCAAAACAAAATATACACTACACTCTATATACAAACACATATGCATGGTCAACATTCGCAGCAGGCAGTGAGGCGTGTCTCAATATATTAATTTGTTTGTTTTGTGTAAAACATACACAGACCGCATGCTATAAGCACGACCGCACTTGTAATAGGTACTGTATCCCAATATACGCATTCATTTGTATACGTGTGGAAGTGCACGCAATAAGGAACAGTGTTTCATTCAGTTGTGACACTCGTAAATGAGTTCTTTTACATGATGTGCTGTAATCTGTTGAATACGAAATTCTCCATCCAGGGTAGATGTATGTTCATAAACTTAATGACTGTAAATTGCAAATTACTTTTTGTATAACGAAGCAACAAACGATGGGTTCCAACAGAGAACGTCGGAACAAGAATGATCCATATATAACTAGTTGTAGGGAAAATAGAATGTTCCATTGACCTCGCGTTCAACTGCTCGGGAGAACCCAAACAAGAGAGACCTTGGGTTGTAAACGCGCACTGAGGCATTCATAGCAGACGTTCATCGGATATTTCAATACTTTGTAATTTAGAGAACATTTCAAAATGGGATTAGAAGTAAGTGTCTTTTGTGTCACAAAAATGCAATTGTTATGAATACTTTCTCTGAAGAATCTTAGAAGAAATTTTAGCTAATTGCGAAATTCCATCGATTCCTGAGCTTGGAAATTTGGTAAATCGTAAAGTGAGGAAAATGTTTAAGTGCACTCATATATATTTCTGTTTTCAGGCAAGAGAAATCTCAGCTCCAAGAGTGGGAAGGTTTAAGATTTACATTCAGGTAAGATTTTAGATTATTTCATCCAGAAAGTATAGCGACTTAACTGCTTCTATTCTGACAGCTCAACAGCGAAATGCAGTCTAGTTCCTCAAGTACGCATTCCAAAATTACGAGAAAGACAGACATGGGGGCAACGTGGATCTATGTGCAACTTATTTGTACGCATATGCATCTGTTGTCATTGTTCATTTCCTTCTGAACAATGCGCATTGATTAATCAATTGTATTTTCGCGACGCAGCTGTTTGCTTGCTTGTTTCAACCAGATCGCATGATCAGTTCCCGAGACTGGTGCTAAGTGTCTCTCATAACAAATATTCATGGGCGTTTTCAGGGAAAAACTTCTCCAACGCAATTAAAAGAAGACTTTGATACAAACGTACTGTAAATTGGCCCAGATATAAATGTGTATCTGTACCTATATGTTGTTTTAAGGACACTGCACATTTTATCATATTAGACAATTAATTTTGTTAAAGAATATTAAACTTACAGCAGTTTGTGATTATTGTTTGTTAGGCTAAATAAATTCAAAGTACAGGGAAGAAATATGTTTAGAAGGAAAAGATTGATATGAGGAAAATGCTTTAAAGAATGAAAATGAGAGAGCAACATGGTGTTGCATTTTTTCATGAAATATGCATCTAACTTTGCAACATCATAACATACCACTGCATTTTGTACTAAAAAAAATAATTTGCTTGCAGTCAAGACTTACATAATTGTCTCGCTACTTTATTGCTGTCTCGCTTTACAGTCTTTGTTTCTTACCAACCACCATTTGTATGTTCAGGTCAACAAATTCATTCTGCTGGCTCTGTTGTCATGCTAATGTGCATGCAGCAAGGGCAAGCAGTTTGTGGCGGGAAGTGTTTTTGCTCAGTGGTTGTGTTGGGTTGTTTACTATCACATGCCCTCATTATAGCGTGCACAAAGGGAAAGAGGTGTTTATTCTCAAACAGTGGACTTGACACTACGGAAATGAAATGACATTTGTGAATTTGTAGTAAAAGGATTGAGATTATGTGTTGCTGAGGTGGGAACAATGGTGTCAGTGTTTTTCAACACTGTCTTGTTATAGTGAAGGCAAACTGACCTTCATTCAGCAATTCTATCTATGATCTAATAATTTTTTTATTGTTGATGTTGGAAACCTTTTCAAGTTGGGATGGGACGGGTAACTCGAGTACCCTGGTTGGGTGGGTACTGAGTAGGACCCGGGTACCCACAGGACTACCTGAACCCATTGTTAGTCATGTGATATATTGTTTAACGACCAAAATTATGTGGAACTCTATGGTTAAACTACAAGTCACTAATGTTCGCATTTCTTTCTGACTGTGCACCCATTCCTTCTGACTTTTCATATGGTTGAATAAAGATGACTTAAGTCAACTTCAGTGTATGCATGACCAGATCGTTTAATACATGTATCTAAATACGTTTTGCAAGCGCTGTGGTAAAAAAACCACAACCCTATTCGGACATGTATTTGTATCCGATGAGACCTGCAGTTGGTACCCGGGGAGGGTCGGGTAATAGTGGGGTGGGTACTCGGGTAGTGAATTTGGACTCGTCTCAGCCCTACTTTCAAGGAATGCATATCTATCTGAAAAATATTAATTAGACAAATGCATGAAAGTTTTGTTGTTTTCATTCAGCATTTGTTCAGGGCAGACCTGTTTAATTATTTGTTTTACAGATCAAGATTACTTTTGATCTTTTTTTAAAAAAATTATTGGGAAAATAATCGTGTTTACTCTAGTAATCGTTTAATAATATCAAAACGTACAGTGACATTGACAATTTTAGGTGTGTATTCTCTACTGCTCTATCCAGGACAGACTTCAACTGTTGCAAAGGAATAGCATTTGTTCATTCTCATAATGAACTCCAGTTTTGTGGGTGTGATTATGCACCAGGAAATGTGGTAACAATAGTAAATTATGGTAATAGGCACAATGCACTATTAACTCAATGGATTTCATTTAGGAAAGTAAAAAAAATCAAAAATAAAATCAACGTTTTTAATGGCGTGTAATATAACCTGACATTTGGATAAATTGTCTGGAATCAATTGAACCGCCTCCGTGGTCTTGTGGTAGAGCGTCCGCCCGGAGAGCGGAAGATCCGGGGTTCGATCCCGGGCCGCGTCATACAAAAAGACGTTAAAAGATTGTACTTGTTGTTACCCTGTCTGGCGCTCGGCATTAAGGGGCTAAAACAAGGACTGGTCGGCTCGGAGTCAGTATACTGTGTCTGAGTGGGGTATTCATGTTAAACTGCGGCATGGTATCTCAGTGAGCTAGCACTATAAATCGGCATCAGTCCGGACTAGTACAAGCAGCCACACACACACATACACGTGCATGCACGTCGCTATATAAGTGCAATAATCTTGGACGCGACGTTAAACCCAATTTCACCTTCACCTCACCTGGAATCAATTGAAATATTTTGATTTATTTATTTGATTTATTCCTCTATGAACTTTTATGAGGTTGTGGATGTGGCATTTAAGATGAGCTCCAGTCAAGCTTATTTAGTTTTGAGCTGTTTTGAGTGTGTGAGTGAGTGAGTGAGTTTAATGGCAAGGCCATTGCAAACAATATTCCAGTATAAGCACCTGGAAGTGATGCAGGTCTCAGACGTTTACCACTCCGGTGAAACCCATGAGCATGGGTATGGTGCTGACAAACCTTTTGTAGGAAGCTTGCAAGAAACAATACCCAATAACCATCTGATTACACAAACATCTTTCCAATGTCACAGCCACAGCTAAAACATAGAACCCTTGAAGCTTTTCATTTTACAGACATTTCACACTATGCCCAGAAGCAGGAGGGAAAATAGAAAAATCGAACTTCAGATGAAATTACTTCTAGAACATAGGTCAAAAATAAGAAAAAGGAGATATGAAACAGCATATTTCAATCAAACACATGCATTCCTTTAAAACTTAAATGAATAATCAAAACCTTTCAATAATGGTATTCAGTTTGTCACTTTATTAGAGAAAAATCAAGTTCTAGCTATCACACAGCATGCTATCAGAAAGGATGGCAACAGTTGAATGTGACACACAATAGCACCATATCAATTAAATAATGGATGATACAATTTTGGTTGCTAATCAATGAAATACATATTCTGTCTCAGAGCTCCAGATAAGCTTTTGGTGTTGTGGGTATTTTACCCATGCATTTTAAAATCGTTGGGTATCAGTAATTCTATCCTGGTATTCAAATTTCTGTTACCCACTAGTTTTTACACATGTGGGTATTTAAGTTAAATATTTAAAAACACTATTCATCTAGTCCCTGCAAACTGGTGTCGTGTGGGTTCGAGGACTAAAAAATACCACGATACTTCCACAAGAAAGTGTGATGGCAAATGATCATGATGTAACTGTCATCGTGGAGTTTGGCAAGGTTGACGGAATGTCCGTTGATAATTTCAAAATAAGTTGCTGATTTGCTAATCGAATACGCAGGGATACTTCACAATATTTTGATGATACGCCCAAGTTTTATTTTTGTAGCGTATCTGTAAAGTTCGTTGCGTATTTGATTCGCTTGGATTTTATTTTACTGCATATTTCTGCATTTCTGATGCATTTTTAACGCAGATACGCAGCTTATCTGGAGCTCTGTATCTTTCGTTTTAATAAATTGAGGGAGGGTGGGGAAGGGAGGGGTGGTTATGTCAAGGAGTAGTAAGACATTCCATCCTGACTCAACAGGAATAAAGACCTGCACAAAAGACTACACTGATATTATCCTTGACCCAAAATATGACAGCTTATGACACAATAGACATGTCTGTTATAGGGCATGCATATGACTGGAATAAATAGGTCAAGTGTAAACTCACTGTGCATTAAACATGACAGACTAGTTCTGCAAGTGTAACTAACTGAGAGGGAGAGTTTTTACAGCACTAAGCTTCTAAAATTCTTTTATGAATCATAAGGAAAATATGGGATTTAAACCCATGATCAGTAAATCCTGGTGCAACTAAGGGATTCAACTCTGCTCCGCAAATTGCAAAATCTTAGATCACCCATCCCCCAGTAAATGTACCAATAAGTTGGTTTGTAATGATAATCCTAAATTAGTATGAATTTTTTTTTTTTAGATCCAAATATGTAGACATAATCATTAGCTCAGAGTAATTTGCTCTCAAGGAATTATTTCAACAAGATTGATACATATGTTATTAGTAAATTTGGATGATTAATGATGGGAGTCCAGATGCATTTGTTGCATTTATGCCCACAGAACAGGGCAATAATGGCAGATTTTGTATGAGATTATTGATGCAGATTACAGATAATGTGCCCGGGAAGACCATCCTGTCAGAATTCTTCAATGTCAGTGGCGTCTTATCATAAGAGGATTATTCATTAATTATCTGGGCATGATCTTATCTGATAATGGCAAGATCGTAGGAACTGTTAATGCAAGCTGTACCTCGGCAAGAGAGCAAACATCATGCTTGTTCATTCTAGGTCATTCTATTTTCTATTTAGGTACAGAGTTAGTATCAGAAATAGGTGTTTTTTTTGTGGGATGGATCTAGGGGTGTGATCATAATTTGTGATATTGATTAGGGGTTGATGCTGTATCGATACAAATTTATGAAATTTGATACAGTGTCATTACAAATTAATGAATATCAATACCCTATCAATGCAATTTTATGATTATCGACACTGTATTGGTACAAATTTATGGAAATTTATAGTAAAAATTCACTCCCAAAGAAACGTTTCCATTTATTGAGATTACCATTATAAGGATGGACAATGAGAAGGTAGAAAATTCAATTTAATACATTTAAATAATGGATCAGCTGAGTTCATGTTTAGCATTAAATTGATTAATTGGAGGTCTACATAGGTAATACCGTATTCGACGTAATAAGCGCCCCGCTCTAATAAGCGCCCACAGCGATATTTGCTGATATATTGGCAAGTGAACAATCCCAATTAGCACCCCT